GGGAGGGGCGGGGGAGGGGGGAGAGTGTGTGGGGTTGTGTGTGTGTATGTATGAGTGTGTGTTTGCGTATGTGTGAGAAGTGTATGTGTGAGCATGTGAGAATGTGTGTGAGGTGTATTTGAGTGTGTGTGAGTGTCAGCGGTGTGTCTGTGTATGAGTGTGAATGTGTGTGTGTGTTTATTCTCTCACTGAAATGGCATAAATCTGGAAGAGTAAGACTTAGGATCTGGATAATCCATACTTTGTAATTTCATACTTTTGCAAGTGGAGTCTGAATTGCTGATGGATGGGAAAAAACACGGGGCCTTTTTTTAACGAGCACTAGCACCGGAAGGAACTTCTGAGATGGCTTTGCCTGCTCTGGTTCCCGTGAGGATCTTGGGTCTGGGGAAGGCCGAGGGTGCCAGTGGTCACACCGCAGGAGCCACACAACGGGAGTGTGACTGAGACAGGATTGCTGCACCCCATGTCTGGAGGCATCTGGACGATCCAGGCTTGCCACAGGCCCCGCAGATCTGCTGTGAGCACAGCAGGTGTGATGTCCCTGGGCAACACAGAGGGAGAGAGGCCATGTGCTGTCGGGTGTTGCCGTGACCAGGGCACCACACGGTGCTGCCATGGGCTGTTCTGTGGTGGCGGCTAGAGGGATCCTGCAATGGCGTGGGCTGTGCGCTGGCTGCCCGCCTGCTACCCTCCGGGCTGGGCTGGGTTCCTTCTTTTTGACTAATAATTGTGCTCAGATTGCTAAACTTCATTGCTTTTACCTTTACCTCTAGTGTCTTAATAGAACATGCTTAGAAGATTATTTACTAGAAAACGCATTGGCCTTTGTAAAATAATTTAAGACCCAGTAACACGGAGATGTCACTAGGTCCATGAAGGCAATCCTCCATAGCAAAGAGAGGAGATGGCATGTCCCCATTGCTTTTGGGAGTGCTGGTCTTGCTGGTGGTGATAGCAGCAAGCTGTCGCATGGCCTGCTCCCCTGGCACACAGAAGAGGGTCGTGTTGCTTGGTGTCCGTGAACAAGGGCTGCACACCCAGAGGCCGTCTCCGCAGGGCACGGTGGCATCTCATGCTGGTCATGAAGTGCACAAGGGCCCTAGTCAGGCTGCACCCTCGGCCCCATCACTGCTGTGACTCTGGGTCCAGTGCGGACCCTCGTGGCCCTCAGCCTCCTCACCTGTAAAGTAGGTTGGTCACCTCTGTTTCCGGGAGTGTCTGAGCGTTCCCCCAGGACCATAGTAGCATGGGTGCCAGGAGGCCGTGATTGTCAGCTCCCTCCTCTTGGGCCATGGGGCTCGCTGGCCTGTAGAGTGGCTTGCAGAGGGCCTGACGGGAGAGCCCAGTGTCTGCATTTGAGAGCCACGAGGGCCGATGGAGAGTTGTGCCTTGCTATCTCCGACTGACTTTTCTCACCTGTCTCTCTGCAGTTTGTGTTCAGCTTCAATGAAAAGCTCTTCGGCCTGCTGGTGAAGGACATCGAGGCCATGGACCCCAGCATCCTGAAGGGCGAGCCTGCCACGGGCAAGAGGCAGAAGGTGGGCCTGACTTCTGGCGTCTTTATTTATCATCATCACTGGCTTCACAGTGGAAACATTAATGGGTTTTTCCTCTTGCTTAGAGGTTTTTTTTTCAATATGGTGTATTCTTACAAGTTAGTAGGGAGAAAAAATTTGCTTTCGTAGTCAGTGTTTTTATTAAAAATATATGCTTATTTGCAAACCTAATGGTAATTTGGAATTTGTGCATCTGTGTACCTGTGGTTTTGGTTGAATGTGGATGTTTATTTTAAGTAAGAAGGAGGGCATGATTAGAAAGACACAGTCACGGCAGAAGGTCGTTTGGGGAAGGGAGCGGAGCTCAGGCGTGGTTGGGAGAGTGTCTGTGCACAGAGACCTCATTTCCCTGCAACCTTGGCCTTGCACTGAGAAGTCCAGAACTCTGCTCTTTGACTCCTAATTATGGTCTTTCTATACAGATTGAAGTAGGACTGGTGGTAGGAAACAGTCAAGTTGCATTTGAAAAAGCAGAAAACTCATCGCTCAATCTTATTGGTAAGATTTACAACTTTTAGAAGATTCGAAATGAAGTGGAACTGTCTCTGTCATTGTGTGTGACTTGGCTGCAGTGACTTCCAAGCGGGGAAAGAGAGAGGGGATGCCTGTCCTGGGGGTTTAGAACAGAATTGTAGGGTGTTTTCATTTGTCAGATTTGCTTCATCTGGATCAACATTGTCTAATAGAAATAGAATGTGACCCACACAGGTAGTTTTTAATTTCTTAGGAGCCACTCTAAACTTGAATTCAAAGAAACAAGTTGACTTTTTAAACTAATTTTGATTTAATCTTGTGGAAGATAGGTAGAAATAGCTCAGGGGATTCCTGTATGCCCCTCACCGGCTTCCCCTGATATTAACGTCTTCGTAATTATCCAGCCTCTGAAAGGACCGAGGTTTCTTTGCTCATAACTGACCTACAGGCTTTGTGTCTCCCTGCTTTTTTCATTATGCCTTTCCCTGTTCCAGGGTCTACTTGGAGATCCTGCATTTGGTTTTCTGTCTTTTTAGTCTTTCTCAGTCTCTGACAGTTCCTTAGACTTTCATTGTGTTTCATGACCTGGAGAACTGGCCAGGTATTTTGTAGAGTCCCCTCACCTGGCTCTGGCAAATGAGATGCCATCATCGCCTCTCTTAGTGACTAAGTGATGAATGTACAGGTGAAAGCTTTCCAGCGGATTCATGGTTCAGCCCTACTCTTGAACTTTTATTATCTAATAACAAAGCAGCTTAGTCTCTGAGAACAGTAATCACTCACCAGAATAACAGTGCCACTACCTGAATAGTATCTCTTAACTATATTCATGTCTACCCCCATAGAAAGTAGAGGGTTGTCATCGGTTGCACACTGTCATGGCCAAGGTTACTTAACATTCTTTGAATATGTAGCCTTTTTTCTTGGTTCATAGATTACCATCCCCCCTTATTTTTTCTTATTTGTATTAAAAAATTTTATTTATTATTATTTATTCATAGTAAAGTATTTTATAAAACATTAATATGGACAGGCACTCCAGAACAGCTCATACATTCTAAAATATCATTTTTTTGTTTTGAGAAAGCAGGATTTATTAAGAGGACAGAAAAACTCCCATAGTGGGAGAGGAGGTTGCCCAATATGATTGTTTTCATACAGTTTTATAATTTTCTTTTTTTGCTTAACATATTGCTTTATTTTTAAAATGTGGGGTACAAAGGAGGGTTAGGTAATATGTGGTCATCATACAGGTAAGGTGTGGGTACCCTTACTGATGTTATGTGCCCCCTGGCAGTGTCTCACTACTGCCAATCCCTTTCTTATGATACTGTGATAAATGTTCAAGGTCCACTTATGAGTGAGTACATGTGGTACTCAGATCTTTGGTTCTTTGGTAAATCACTGAGTATGATAGACTCTAATTCCATCCAGGTTGCTGCAAAGTTCATAATTTTGTTTTTCTTTTCTTTATGACTGCATAATATTCCATCGTGTAAATGTACCTCATTTTCTTTATCCAGTCCATTTTCAATGAACAACACAATTTGTTCCTTGTTTTTGCTATTGTGACTACTGCTGCAATAAATATGCATATGCAGGTATCTTTATAATAGAGTGATTTGAGTTCCTCCAGGTATATTCCCAGAAGGGAGGTCGATTTTCAGTTTTTTAGAAATCACCACACTGTTTTCCACAGAGGTTGTACTAGTTTACGTTCCCACCAACAATGTAAAAATAGTTCCCCTTTCCCCACATCCTCTTCAGCATCTGTTGTTTTTTGAGTTACTGATGATGTCATAGCCATCCTGACTGGAGTTAAGTGGTATCTCAGTGTGGTTTTAATTTTCATTTCTTTGATGATTAGTGAAACTGAGCATTTTTTCATGTATGTGTTGGCTACTCGTCTTCTGAGAAGTGTCTGTTCATATCTTTGCCCATTTTTTAATAGGGTTGTTAGCTTTTTTCCTTTCAGCACGTTTGAGTTCCACGTAGATCCTAGATGTTAGCCTTTTGTCAGATATACAGTTGATAAATATTTTTTCCCATTCTGTGGGCTGTTTCCCCACTCTCTTGATGTTTTCTTTTGCTTTGCAGAAGCTTTTCAGTTTGGTGAGGTCCCGCTTATCTATCTTCTTTTTTAGCATTTGCTTTTGGAGAGTTGATCAGGACTTAGTTGCCTATTCCAGTTTCCATAACAGTGTTTCCTACATTTTCTTCTAGGTTCTTACATTTTGAGGTTTTACATTTAGGTCTTTGATTCATTTAAGAGTTGATTTTTGTGTATAGTAAAAGGTAAGGATTTTATTTCAGTCTTCTGCATGTTGTGAGTCAGTTTTCCCAGCACCTATTTACTGATTAGGTTCTCCTCTCGGCATTGGATGTTGGTGGAGGCTTTGTTAAAGATGAGTTGGTTGAGGAATTGAGGTTTTGCTTCCAGAATCTCTATCCTGTTCCACTGGTTTATATGCCTGTTCTTGTACCAAAACCAGGCTGTTTTGATTATTGTAGTTTTATAGTAGAGTTTGAAGTCTGAAAGTGTGATACCTCCTGCTTTGTTTCTTTTGCTAAGGGTTGTTTTGGCTATTCGTGGTCTTTTATGTTTCCGTATGAATTTCTGTATTGTCGTTTCCAGGTCTGAGAAGAATGATGTTGGTAATTTAATAGCTATTGTGCTAAATCTGTAGATTGCCTTTGGTAGGATGGACATCTTAACAATGTTAATTCTCCCAATCCATGAGCATGGAATATTTTTCATCTGTTTGTGTCTTCTTGGATTTCTTTGAACAGTGTTTGTAGTTTTCTTTTTGTTTGTTTTCTTTTTTTTTTTTTTGAATTGGAGCCTCACTCTGTCACACAGACTGGAATGCAGTGGCTGCTCCCGGCCACCACAGCCTCGACCTGCTGGACTCCAGCAGCGATCCTTCCGCCTCAGCCTTCCAAGTAGCTGGAATTACAGGCATGTGCTACTACGCCCGGCTGATTTTTTGATTTATTGTAGAGATGAGGTCTCATTGCCCAGGTGGGTCTCGAACCCACGGGCTCAGGCAATCCACTCACCTCAGCCTCCCAAAGGTGCGGGATTACGGGCTGAGCCACCGAGCCCGGCTTTGTAGTTTTCATTGTAAAGGTCTTTCACTTCTTTGGTTAGGAAGATGCCAAGGTATTTCATTTTTTGTGTGGCTATTGTGAATCAGATTGTACTTTTTATTTGGGATTCTGTCTGTTTATTGTTGGTGTATAGAAATACGACTGTCTTTTATATGTTTATTTTATACCCTGAGACTTTGCCAAAGTCCTTTAGGAGGTTTTTGACAGATTCTCTTGGGTTTTCAAGGTATAGGATCATGTCATCTGCGAAGAGTGATGATTTAACTTCCTCTTTTCCTATTTGGATACCCTTGATTTCCTTGTCTAATTTTTCTAACTAGGACTTGCAGTACAATGTTGAACAGGAGAGGTGAAAGTGGGCAGCCTTGTCTTGTTCTGGTTTTCAGGGGAAATGCTTCCAGTTTCTGTCCATTCAGCAGGATGTTGGCTGTGGGTTTATCATATATGGCTCTTACTATTTTGAGGTATATTCCATCTAGGTGTTCAAGGGTTTTTAATCAGGATGCTGGATTTTATCAAAAGCTTTTTCTGTATCTAATGAAATAATTGTATGATTCTTCTTTTTGTATCTGTTGTTGTATTTAATTGCGTTTATGGTGTTGCAGATATTGAACCAGCCCTGCATCTTGGGGATGAAGCCTGCTTGGTCATAGTGGATGATTTTTGAGCTGTGGTGTTGGATTCAGTTTGCTAGAATCTTGTTGAGAATTTTTGCATCTATGTTCATTAAGGATATTGACCTGTAGTTCTCTTTCTTTGTTGGATCTTTACCCGGTTTGGGTATCAATGTGATGTTAGCATCATAAAATGATGTGGGGAGAGTTCCATCTTTTTCAATCACCTGAAATACTTTCAATAGGATTGATATCAGCTCCTCCTTGTATGTTTTGTAGAATTCTGCTGGAAATATCTGGTCCAGGGTTTTGTTTTGGTTTTTTTTTGGTAGTTTTCTTATGATGAAGTCAATTTCCTGGGCTGTTATTGGTCTATTTAGAGTCTCAATTTCTTGTTTCAACCTTGGGAGGTTGTGTGCTATCAGAAAGTCCTCCATTTCAATTAGGTTTTCGAGTTCATTTCCATACAAGTGTAATCTCTGATTTTCTTCTGTATTTCTTTGGGGTCAGTTGTGACTTTATCTTTTGCTTTTCTGATTGTGTTTATTTGGAATTTTTCTCTCTTTCTCTTGGTCAGTCCCGCTAAGGGTCCATCAATCTTGTTTATCCTTTCAAAGAAACAGTTTTTTGTTTTGTTGATTTTTTTTTTTCTGCTATTGCTTAACATGTTTCAAGCATCTTAAACATACTCTGTAACATGATTTGTAATGCCTGTATGTCATTTTAATGGACATAGGATATATTATATTCTCTTAGTATTGGTCCAATACAGTTACGGAGTGATTTCATTGTATTTTATTTTATTTTAGAGTTGAAGTCTCACTCTGTCACCCAGACTGGAGTGCAGTGGCCGCTCCTGGCAACTGCAGCCTCTACCTGCTGGGCTCCAGTTATCCTTCTGCCTCAGCCTTCCAAGTAGCTGGAACTACAGGCGCGTGCTACCACGCCCGGCTAATTTTTGATTTATTGTAGAGATGAGGTCTTGCCAAGTTGCCCAGGCAGGTCTCGAACCCGCAGGCTCAGGTAATTCACTCACCTCAGCCTCCCAAGGCGCGGGAATACAGGCTGAGCCACCGAGCCTGGCTATATTTTTTTTTTTGTGCACCTTTTGTTAAGATATGTTATTCCACGGAAGTTGCATAACTCTTATGCAATATGGGTGTTTCTAAGTAATCCATTGCAATATTCTAAGCAAGTATTCTAAGTAATTCATGGGAAAGTAAAATCGTATCGTAATTTGGCATGCATCAGAATTGGCCACAAGAGGGCAGGAGAGTGTAAGAAAGCTATTTTTGATAGTGTCCCAAGGAACTCTAACCACAGAATTACCCTCTAGGACAGATGGGTTTTTTTTTAAATTATTATTTTATAGTTTTATTTCATTTTTAATTGACAGATAATAGTTGCATATATTTACCATGCACAGCTTGTTGTTTTGACATCTGTACACATTGTGGGATGATCAAATCAGGCTAATAATATATCCATCATCTCAAAGAGTTGCCAGTTCTTAGGATAAACTTTTTAATGTGACATTTTTCTCCCTAATTTTATGGATGCTGCATTATGACTTAGTTTTTTGTATAAGTAGAGTGTCCTGTATTCTTTGTTTAAAACAGTGAATGTGGTCCTCGTGAGGCACTCTAGATGGCTCTCTGACATTTAAGTTAGAGAGTGAATTTGTCCATGTGAGTTTGTTAGTCACTGAGGTCCTCAGGATGATTTTAGTCTTGTGTACAGGTGAAGAAATGGCAGACACGACATTGAGCTTACTTGGTGGAGCTTCCTAGGCTGAGGAGTTCTAGACTTCATTGCCCGTACAGCTGCCTCTAGACAAACACACGCATCTTAAGCACACTTGCTCTGGAGCCTTCAGAGCCTGCTGGGATCAGTCGCATTTCTGCCAGCTAGTGTTGTCTTCATCATATATGCACACGGTGTTTCTTCTCACCAGTCAGGCTAATGGCTTTGGCTAGATTAAAGCTTTATGAAACCAAGTGCTATAGGTTGATGACAAGTAGACTCCAGCATCAGTTTAGCTAGCCGTTTGGAAAGTGTATTACAACCACACATGGGATGAAAGTAGGCACCGGCAGAACATACTCTTTTCACCAGAAAACCAGCCAGGAGTGCCTTGTCGTCCTTGTATAGGACAGCATCTCTGTGCATGCAGGATGTCCGGATTCTGTCTGTCTCTTGACACTTGGTGATGAAGTCGTTGTTTCACATTTAATTATGTTTGTTGGACACAGGCAAAGCTAAAACCAAGGAAAATCGCCAGTCTATCATCAACCCTGACTGGAACTTTGAGAAGATGGGGATAGGTGGTCTGGACAAGGAGTTCTCAGACATCTTTCGACGTGCGTTTGCCTCCCGAGTGTTCCCCCCGGAGATTGTGGAGCAGATGGGTGAGTTGAAAATAGAAAATGGCATGCAACAAGCTCAGATTGTTAAAAACAATTAATGCAGTGAGGAATCTCTTTTCAATAGTTTTGAAATTATTTTCAGACCTACTAAAGTATCTGTTTTAACTTCTTTTTAAAAAATCTGACAGGTGGGTTTTCTGTGTTTTAGATTTCATTTAAATCAAAATGTTAGAACTTTTCAAATTGCATTTTAACTTGATGGAGAAATCATAGACATAATTGCTGTGGTTGCTCTGTTTTATTGTCTAGAGAGTTCTTCTTGAGCATATTTAGAAGTGTTACCTGATCCTTTGGATCCATAGTGGGTCAGCTTTACCTGCTGAACAGTCATGCGCTTGGGCTGTGGGCGTTGTCTGACATCACTGCGGCCCTTTGTCATTTGCTGTTGCGTTACCCAGTCATCACGTCTTTATACCTCGAACACGGGTCCCTGGCACAGCTTTAAATTGGGTGAATTTGATCCAAAAAAGCAAATGCAGGGGATGCAGGCAGGCTCCCATGTGCACAGCAAGACACGTGCTGGCCACTTGTCCCTTTCTCCTCAGCGTTTATTTAACTGATCTGTGTGAAGGGACTCGCTTTGCCCAGTGGAGAAGCGGTCACAACTGTGTTCATACCCGTGTCACACGCTGGACTGGAATTTGGGTGGCAGAATCTCTGGGAGAGGATTTTGTAACACGGCAGCTCCTGGCGGACGATTAGTGTAAGGACAGCAGCCAAAACATGGAGGAATTAGGGGCCTGGGCCTCCCCTGCCTGTCTCTCCTTCTCTTGGAGTCGCTGCTGGAGATAAAAGAGTGCTCATCCTGGTGGGAGCATGGGCTGCTCCCCAGCACCCAGGGCTGGCTGGCGGCGCTGGTTGTTGGGAGCTTTCTCCCTGGACACACACTCTGATAAGTCATGGACGTGGCCCACACCTGTTCCCTGGATAAAGGTCGAACTTGGAATTGGATTAAGAGAAAATGACAGAGACCCTCATCACCTGAGTTTTATGCACCTTGAAATGGCAATAACATACTTTTTATCTGAAAGATACAAAGGCCAAGGCCACAAAAACCAGAATTTTAATTTGTAAGATATTTTTAAATGTGGCAGTTCACTTTCTTGGTAATGTGTTGTTCTGAGTTATTCTTATGGAATATTTTTACTGGTTTTTAGGACTGAGTCCTAACGCAGAGAGGATCTAGTGATTCTCTTTCTTTGGACGTGTGTATTATCCAGCCAACAAGCAGGAACATAACTGCCTTGGTAGTAAGCCATGACTTTTTATTAGATTATAAATGTCGTCTTACTGTTTGGGAGCAATTGAGGATACAGTGATTCAGATACTAGTTTCCCAGGGGTGTGTGACCCAGACCCAGACCCCAGCATATGAGGGACCTTGGTGTGAGGTTGGGTGCGTGATGTGTAAGGGTGACACCTACATGGGTCAGTCTGTGACCTTACCAGTTGTCAGAGCTTGAAATTAAGTCACAATCAGATTTGGAATTTATTGGTAAATTTAAACTATTTCTGGAGTCTGCATAGAAATGAGTTGAGGTATAGTAGTGTGCTTTTGTTGTTATTAACAAGGTTTTTGACTGAGGACTGTGGGTTTTGAATATGCTTTGTGAGTGCTACTGCCCAGAACCTTTTTTATGAATTTATTTTTCTAATATTTTTACACTAATTAGACCAAAAAATGAGTTCTGTCTTTTTATTTTTTAATTTTTTTAGAGAAAGCAGGAATTTATTAAGAGGACAATAAAAGCTCCCAAGTGGGAGGGGACCTGAAAAAGGGTTGCCTGAGTTCTGTCCTTTTTAAAAAGTTCTGTTTTCTTTCTATTTATGGCTTTTTGCCACTAAGAAACATTTGTGTTATCAATTTGATTTAGAGACAACTAGCGTAAAGCTATCTTTGTTTTTGACTGAATTGAAAATTGTTGTCTTTATTCTGAATGAACCTTCTAAGTATCTGAAAAAGCAAATCGACTTTTTTGTTCATAGTTAAATGACTGAGAAAGAATTCTTTTGCTATGCTTGTGTCATTCTCTGTTTTTCAAGAACAGTGTTTTCTTTCCTTTGGCTTTGGGGAGAATTCTAGAGTAAAATGCTTGTTGCACTCCATCTACAGTGCAGGCATAAGGTTCTCCTCAGGCTTCAGTAAAGGCATGCACAAGTAAAACTTGCTACATTTCTACAGAATATAAATAAAATTACACGTATCCTTTTAATGCATATCCTGTGTTCTTTTACCCTTCCAGGTGGGAACAAAATTGACTTTTTTCCTCTTTGTTGACTAAATAGACAAACCTGTATAGTTTGGGGATTCAATTATTGGACACTGAGTTTGATTGGCTAAATTAATTCAAGTTTGGGGAAAAAAAGACTAGAAAAGAAAAATTTGCTGAGCATAGTAGTCCGAGATGCTGTGGTCCTGCTATAAGGGACGCTGAGGTGGCAGGATTGCCTGAGCCCCAGGAGCTGGAGACTGGTGAGCAGTGATCATGCCACTGCACTCCAGCCTGGGCTGGAGCTACCAAACAGAGCTACCAAAAAAAAAAAAAAGATTAGGAAGGAATAACTTATGTAGATTATGGGGCTTTTTTGTTTTGTCTTAAGCAGCGAGCTTTACTTTTGGCTTGAGACCAAATCATTGTCTTTTCCATGAAGCCTGGAGTTAAGTCTCCTTTGTAAACAGGAGTCTTAACTAAGTGGGATTTTGCCTGTGTATTAGTGTTTCATGTTTACAGAGCAGTGCATTGGGAATGCTCTCCTGCTGTTGTGTTCATGAGACTGATAGTTGTGCCTCTGGGCCATCGTGCCTTCCTTTTGCTTGTGAAGCTTCCTGTGGCCTTTTCAGAGCTGGAGACGTGGTTTACTACTCGCAGAAGGTAAGACGGGCCGATGAGGTGCAGGAGGGGCCCGTGACTAGTCAGAGGCCCACAGTGTGCCAAGGACTGGGGACCAGCTGAGGTCACTGACCCGCATGGCCGGCATGGAGGTTCCCATCCTTGGCAGCTCAGGCAGTGCGTCCGCGTCACAGTGTGTCCTCCCACTGTGCGTGTTGGCTGTCTTTCCATAGGATCAAGTCAAGGCTATCTGTAGAGGAGGCGGAGGAAGCACAGAGGGATAGAGGCCATGTGCAGAAACAGGAAGGGGTCACGGAGGAGCTTGTCCACCCAGGCTTCTGCTTTGTTGTTTGATCTGTGTAACCGTTTGGTTGTCTTCGTCTGCGGCAGTTGTGCCGTTCCTCTTTGGAGAGTGTGGAAGCAGCTAGAAGGAGTGCTGAGCCAGAACCCTGCCTTGTATGAGTGCCTTCCAAGGAGGTGTTCACTTGGAGCGTCTGCCATCCCCACAGCAGTGGGTGCCTAGTTAGGAGTACCTAACCCCATCCTTCGTGGACTGAGTCCTGGGTGGGAGTGTGAGCCTCAGGGTGGGGGGGTCTGGACCATCCAGAACTCACCACATTAACCCCGACTGGTCGCCTCAGTCCTCACGACAGAGCTTTTGTTGGCAGAGACAGAGTTTCATTTTCTAGCTTTCCTGGCAGTTCTCTCTAAATTATAAATTAAAAAGCAAAAGCCTAATTGTTTTCAGGGGACAGTGGAGTGATCATAAAAGAATCAGTCAAGATCTCTTTGTGTAATCTTTGGAATGGGCTCCCATCACCGAGGGAAGAGCTGGAAGGGTCGGGGTGTGGATCCGGAAGGCTGGGCTCACGCTGGCTCGTGCACCTGGGGCTTAAGGTACTTGGGCCCCCCCGGTGGACGGGGAACCCCTGGCCCTGCGCCCCAGCCCTGAAGGCCGATGCTGTTCTCTCTGGTCTCCTTCCCAGCGTCTCCCGCAGGAAGCCCGTTTTCCATCTGCACTCTTAAGGTTCCTTTTGAAATTCACCAGGAAAGCAACTCCTTTTCTGATATCGTAAGTGACATTGCAGTAACTGAGCAGGCCTCTGAGAGGACGAGGAGCCTGCCTGTCACCCAGACACCTTCTCCTGCCGAGAACAGCATGAATGGCACCCCTGGAAGGGCGGGCACCGAGGCTCTGCGCGCTGTGTTGGGAGAGGGTTTCCATGCTAAGACTGACATAAACATTAACACTCGTCAGGTGTGGCTCTTGCCTCCACTCTGGGAGGGAGCATCTGAATGGGGGCTGAGACATCTGGGGACTCCAGGGCCCTGCGGAAGGGACCCTGAGGCTGAAGAGTGTATCTGAAAGTTGAAAAAAGGAAAAAAGATAAAGCCTTCTGACACACGTCTTTTTTGCTCGTATTCGTTATAACTTGCTTTTCGGCTGTATTTTAGGCTTTGAATGCCAATCTGACATCTGCTCAAGCCTGGCTGTGATTTATTAGCCGAGGAGCAGAAAGGAGCAGAGCTCCTGCCTTCTGACTCTCCACAGGGCCTGGAGATGGTGCTGGATGTGAGGAGGAGACCATGCATCCCTCTAACTGCAGGTCTGGAACTTACAGCTGTTACGTTTCTAGTTAGAAGATGAAAATGGCTTACGGCCGTGTGGTCAGAGCAGGATCTGGAGACAAATCATAGACCTAAACAATACTGCAGGGTATTCTGTAAACTGGAATGTTTTAACTTACATTCGTTTTTCTATCAATTTTAATTTTTTAAGTTAAATTTATATTTGAATGAAGATCGTGTAGTTGTGCATACGAGTCACCTATCCAACTCTTTGTAACTTCAACTGGCATGTGGCACTTGCAGACTCGAGAGGTGAGTCTTCTGAGGAGGCAACATGTCCACCAAGTCACTGTGGACTGGGCTTCCCAGCCCACAGCTGGGTCATTACAGAGCTGATGTCCGAGTGTCACCCTGAGCATCTGCCAGGAAAGAGGTGATGAGAGCTAGTGATGCAGTGATCTGGGCTCCAAATGTGGAGATGTGTTGGTGTTAATAAAAAATACAACGGAAGGCAAATGTGTCATGAAAGTGTTCAGTGACACACGTGAACTTGAACGCAGTGTCTGCTTCTGTGAAAGGGAAA